ATATATATATATTACTTCAGATTCAAGTTCACAAGTTTTGCTTTCTGTTAATTATACAATACCCGGTTTAGTCACTTTTTTACATATCGAAGTATTGCCTAATATAATTTAAAATACCAAAAAGTAAATATTACTTTTGTTAATCAACAAAGTAGAAAAAAAATATGAAATTTTACCGATTTTCACTCTTTTTTTATCATTTTTTAGGGTTGAGCCTTATATAGAAACAATAAACATAAATTTAGTATTATTGTTTGTTCTAATTATTAAGATTATAAGACATAATTTGAAACGTACAAAAATCTTCGTTAGTATTATTAGTATCCGATATTTCTAATATTTCTACTTGATCATCTATAAATAAGTAAAGAAGAATTTTACTTTTTGTAAACAACAAAAGAAACGATGAAAAAGAACTACCATCACTTTCCCTAACATGTTTTTTGTTTGAATTTCCTTCGATATCTCACGATGCTTATAATATAAATATGAAAATTGGATTAATAACTTTATAATAATTATACATAACAAAATCTCAATATTACTGCTATACTGTGTTCGCCTATATATTAAATATAAAATCATAGTAATTTAAAACTAACCTTCAGAAAGACTTTACCAACCGTGCTATTAAGATTAGAAAGATCGATATTTTTAAAGATAATCCAGAACCATTTGTCCTAATAATTCCTCCTAGTATTACTGGTGGTGATGGTCCTCCTGGTTCTCCCGGTGGCATTGTTTCTGAAACTTTTAGTAATAATGCACTAATAAAAAACAAAATAAAAATAATGAAAATAATGAACTCTAACTTGGCATCGAAATCTATAATTATGAAATATTGATTCAAAAAAATTGATATAAAATTCGATTTATATTGCCACACATTTTATTTTTTGTTTTTTTTTGTTCTCATTTTTTACCTGCACAATTCTTGCATTTGTCTTTAGTTTTTGACATCTTTTTTCAAAAAATAATTCGTGTCTTTTAAAGAAAGAAAGAAATTTAGTTTATAAAATTAAATAATCTAATTACGTTATTTTATTTAATTTTTTGCCAATCGAAATATTCATGTACTCGATCAGAATATTTTAAGGACACATCATCACATACCAGGTCATTTGTGAAACCGATACGAATAGTATATAGTCCTTCCCAGAATATTTTAAAATATTACAATTCGAAACACTATTTTAAATATCCATTTGTACAATTTCAGTATATTTTAAGAATATTATATTAACATACCTAAATTACTGATAAATTACTTTTAAGGATATTTTCCATATCTAATCAGAATATTTTAAAATACCAGTAAATATTACATTTAAAAATTAAGTATATTTTTCGTATAATTTAAACTTATTTATTATTATAGAACACTATTTTAAATATACTGTTAGTACAAATTTCAGTATATTTTAAGAATATTATTACTATATAAGGATATTTTAACCATAAAACTAGTACAGTTTAAGGATGTAGACTTTTTATAGGGGAAATAGTATCTTAACTATTAGATTATATAATATTAAAAAGTTTTCTTTCAGCTAATTAAATTGTATGACATAAAAAAGTTTCCAATAGTCTGTATGAATTGGTTTATTATTTTTAATAATATAGTTAAATAGAAGAAATTATTTTTATTATAGAATTTATTTAATTTATATCATTTTTTACTATATTAGTAAATCAGAAATAGAGTATACCTGTTTAATTTTATTAAATTTTAATATATACTAGTAGTACCTGTTGACTACGTCAACATTCTATGCTTTACTTAACATAAAATAATAATTGTAGTATGTTCTTGGGTATAAGCATACTACAGGATCTATATCATTGACCTTTTAACTGTATTAAAAATATTAGAATTGCTATTTTCGTCAGGAATTTTTGCAGATATAATAGTATTATAATCATCAATAGTTTTAGGTTTATATTCTTGAGCAAGAATAAAAAGAAGATAAGCATGAGGTTAGAATTCTATTGTGTATAAATAAACTATGACTTTTTCAAAAATGACTTTTTTCAAAATATCATTCAATATTGATTCCAGTTTCATATTAAAGATATGACTTATTAAATCAGAATAATCTTTGCATATTTTGATTTGAAAGAAGAGCTTCACCATTTTGGATTATATATTATAGTGATAAATAAATCAGGTTTACCAAATACTTGTAAAATAGCTATTCTATTTTGATATATTTGTTAAGGTTCACCAATAAAACTTGAAAGTATGGTAGTATAATTCATAGCATTCTGAAAGCCATTATATAATTCTGCACATATCTTCTTTTGATTAAATTTTATATAATTTAATTGCATTTGTTTAACTACTGTATACATATCAACAATCTATTGTTGAAATAGTTATCTATAGGAATATAAAGTCAATGCTTCTTCAGGTCATCCAACTTGAAGATAATATGAAAAATAATCATTGCAGTTACATTTTTTTTATCTGATGTGTTTAGTAATTCATTTTCATCACTAAATTTGGATACATCTTTATTATCATAAGTATAAGTAGATTTATTATTACATTTAGGAATGTTTGGATGCCACATATCTTCTCCTCTTGGAAACATAAGAACATAATGAAGTACTGCATAAGCATAATAAATCTTTGAAATTTGTTACATTTCTTTTTTACATGATGGTAATATTATATCATAATTTTGATTTTCTATTTCTTATCCATTTTCTATTATGATAGCTACTACTTCTGATGTACTTGATATATTATACCATTATAAATCTCTTATTTTATTATCAATTATTGCTAATTTCAGTTTAAATCTAATAATGGATCATTTCTTAGCAATTGTCCAGCTTGGTGAAAGATATTAATATATGGATTGATTTTATGTAATATTTGTTGAAATTCAATAAAAATATTAAAATCAAAGTTAGGTATTACACTTAATCTATTATTAATTTCATGGTCAAGTATAATAAATGTAAATTGGGCAAAAGAATATGGATTTTCAGGATTAGACAATAAAATACCCATTTTATGATACATTTCACCATGAATTCTAAAAGTGTAAATCCACCTGTACTAGTAATTTGATGGTTAATATTTGCTCTAAGGTAATTCTTGAAAAAGGGGAAGTATGACTTTTTTATTTGCATAGTATATGGTAAATACTGGTGATTTTGATGCTTATTTATTCTTTCATCAATTTATATTATAGCTTTATATTTGTTACATCTATGTTCTATTTGACCTAGTGAATGGTATTCTAATCTAAAAGAAATCCATGGATAAATACATGTTTTAGAAATTTGTGCTAATTGATCAATTTTATTACCAACTCTATCCTTTTGTTCTTTTAGTTAGTCATGTTATAGGTACATTTTCCTTTTCACCTGAACGCTTTTGATTTGATTACAAAATATTGCATTAAGTATTCTTTGCCATTCTTTAAAAACTTCATAATTCATATTCATATTATATATTATAATATTATAATTAAATTTAAAAATTTGGTTAGAAGTTTAGAAGTTTTAAATAAATTTAAAAACTTTTTAGAAAAAAGTAGTTAGATGTTTCAAATGCATTTAAAAAAGGTTTTAAAAAAAGGATTATCAATATCAGTTATTTACTGATTTTTAATGATAAAAAATTACTATACAATTTTAACAAATTATGATTGTGTATTTATACTAATATGGTAATTCCGGCCAGAGTTAAAATGATCGTCATAATAATTTCCTTTTTTGTATTTTTGCGTAAGCCCGAGCCTCAATTTTCGTGATAACCTATAGCTTCGGCTGGAATTAAGTGATCAGCAAATTAATATCCTTTTTTGGATTTTTGTGTTTCCCAAAACTTGAAGTAATAAAAAGTTATAGCTTCGGCCGAAATTAAATGATCGGCAAATAAATTTCCTTTTTTGGACTTTATGTAACGTTACGTGTTATTTAGACCAATGAAAACTGTGTCACACAATTCAAAGTTTATTTATACGGGTAGTCTAAACGTTACGCCACATGACACCGTCAATGATTTTTAATATATAGATAAATGATATATTTCTAATTTTTTCTTTAATAAATTCTAAAATTTGCTTAGCAAATCGTTTATTTGATTTATCTAATAAATTTATTTCTATTAACTAAAAAGTCTAATTTCTTAAACTGTTTTACAATCAAATGTGCCTGCAATTTTATTTTTTAATTAAAGCCACTTTTAAATACCTTAAAATATATTATTATATAAACCAATATTTTTATAATAACTGAAATTCTATAGTATTATTCTTGGTTTGTTTTTCTATTTTCTTTTGTGAAATGGCTAATTATTAAGAAACAAATTATCAAAAGGGAAAAAATGAATAATTATTTTAGGATTTTAATCATTCCTTATCTGATAATATTTACATAAGGCTATTTGGTTAGAAAGAAAAATATATAGACAAATTGTCTATTGAATTTATTTTTTAGTTTCACATCATTCCATATTTGATTATATTTACATATGGCAAATTTTATTTGAAAGAAAAATATATAGACTTCTTTTAGTAGTTTTAACGAATTAATTAGAAAAACTTTTTCGTGCAATTTCATCATTTTGTATTCGATAGTATGTACATACAGCTTTTTTAATAAAGAAAAAATTATACATGCACATTATTTATAACGTGTAGTTGCGAAAGAAAAGAGGTTTAATATTAGTAGTAAAGATAAAAAAATGAAGTCGAATAGTAAAAAGCGGGATAATACAAATGTTAATATATTAGGCTTCAGTGATGAGACTAGATGGAACAAATGGAATGATTTAGCATTCCATCGAGAGGGGTATTAGGCAAATTTTTAGGTAGATCTTAACAGGCACCTAGAAATTTGGGTGTATTATTATTTTTAATAGTGATATAACCGTTTAGGTGACAGGTCGACTTGTTCTTAGGAAAAGTAGTCTTGTTTCATAATGCTTAATTTTTATATGTATTTTGTTTATCTTATTTTAAGTTTTATATATGTAAGTAAGCGTAGTTATAATAAGACAAGATCGCATCTAANAAAAAAAAAAATAATAAATTCTATAGTATTTTTTAAGTAAAAACCAATAAATAGTAGCTAAATTTTTTAAATTGAAATATCTTTTTATCCATTAACCCTAAAAATATAAAATTACCATCATTTGATGCATCTTAATGAGAAGAATCTGATAGAAATAAAATTGTTTTTCTACAAATATTATGTAATAGGATAACTTATAAAATCTAAAAATTTATGAATTAATATAACTTTTTATTTATCAATTTTAGAGTTATGATTTTATTACTATTAAATATGCCTTAATAAGAGGAATCTAACAAATATAATTTTATTTTTCTATGATCACTAGATCTTAAGATATTATAAAAATTCAAAAATTTTTAAAATTAATTTTAGCCCCTACAGTTTAAGGGATAATATTAACAATTCATTAGTAATACAATTTTGCATTCTTTATAAAAGTGATACATAAAGTGGATTGTTTAATACAATTGCATTTATTTATTTAAAATATAACTTAGGGGTGATTTAAAAAGTGCTTTTTGTTTATATATATTAATTACTTTACTTTTCAATTTAAACTAGTATAGCTTTTTCTTTAATTTGTACTCTTTAGAAGATTATTTAAGCTTTTATTTTATTTTTTTTATTTAGTTTATTTAGAATTTCACATGTTTATATATTATTTTTAAAATTCTTATATAAATTTAATAAAGATAAAAAAAAGATTACTAAGCTGTATTTGCATCTAAATTACTAGTAAGTTAAAAAAATCATTTTTTAAAAAAAAATGTAAAATTTTCTTAAATAATTATTTTTCAAAAATTACTTTTAATATAATTAATAATATTTTTAAAGTTAAATTCTTTTGATTTTGATTGCTAAGAATCTAAGATTTAAAGTAATTAGCTTTTTATTATTGCTTTATATTTGATTAAATTAAAAAAGCTATAATATTCAAAATTATATAAATTATATTATTTTTATTTAAAACTAATTATAATCTAATATTATTTTATTTTTTTCATTATATAATATATATAAAAAACATTTTTTTGGCTAAAACTGTGTAATTCTAACCTTTAAAAAGATATATCTTTATATATACCAATTTGCTTCAGAAATGTTTAATATATTTTCATTAATTTTTACTTGAAATAATAAATTAAAAAAAAATGAAAAATATAAAATATCATTTATGGTTTAGACCATTACTACACAAAAATGAAAATTGTAAAAATATTATTTATGGTTTATACCATTATTACACTTATATACTAATCAGTTTTTATCAAGTCATGAATAAATTATGATATGAACTAATATAACTAATGTAACTAATGGTAAAGGGTAAAAATAAAAAAAAAGAAAATGTTCAATGTCATAAAATAATATATAAATATAAAATAAAAAATAAGAAAAGAATAATATGATAATTTTTTAAAAAAAAAAGTATTAACAAATTTAATACTAAAGCTATAAATATCTTTATACCAATGCAAATTGCTGCAAAAACTGCAACAAATATAATGCCAATAGTAATCTTTGCTTAATAAATTACTAACAACCACAACAATTAAAAACCGCATAATAAAAATCCTTAATTACAAATCCTCATCCTTACAAGCCTTTCTTGTTTATAGGATGGATATAACTAATTGATATGCAAAAATAATATATAAAATTAGATCAATATGTATAAAAAAAATACCCAAATCTGTCAAAAGAAGAAAATAAAATAATAATAATAATAATAATAGATTATTCACATCCACAAAATATTTGTGATCATTAGAATTTGTGAAGCAATCATTAAACGTACCAAACAACCTATGCAGCCAAGAATATAAAGGAAAAGAAAAACAATTAAAATTTCTAATCTAATTAATATTGAAAAAAAAAAATAAATGAAACAATTAAAGACAATAAAGGATTAAATTTTTATCTTTTCCTAAATATTTTTTAAAAGGAAAAAAAAGGATTTTAATATTTAAAGTCTAAAGTCATTATTTATTTTTAATCCAAAGATGCACGCATTTGAGACTCTGTCAACGGAGTGAAATTATGAATATCAATTCCGCGAGAAAGGATTTCCTCCTCAGCATGAGGAGGTACAAGTTGGGAAATTAAATCTTCACGGATAGATAGTTCTAATTAAAGAAAAATAATTGTTATTTCACATAAAAATTAAATCTAGAAAAATTTGGGTTCATACCTTGTGCTGTGAAATCAAAGAGCTTAGGTAATTCCCTCCCATTTGGAAGTCTTGTTTCTGGATTTCGTAGTTCATCGAAAAATGGATGGCACATTGCTTGAATTGCTGTTAGTCGGTTTGCTGGTGTATATTCCAATAGACGGGATATAAGATCGATTGCTTCAGGAGGCGTTCTGGCTCTGAAAACCTAAAAGAACAAATTTTCTGCTTGTTAAATAAATAATTCGCAAAAAAATCAAGTATAAAGAATATAATAAAATCAATCACCTTTGAGAATGGATGAGGCTTGATTTGAGGGAATTTATGTTCCATATAATTTGGATTCATGGTTTTGATTTGCTCCCTTGTCGGCGTTCCCAAAACTTTAATGATTTCAACTAATTGGTCAATTCCACTTTCTCCGGGGAATAAAGGATGTCCAAGCATTAATTCTGCCATAACACACCCTGTTGACCAAACATCTGTATAATAATTAAGTAAAGACAAATCAAATTTGAATTACATCTAAAAGAGAATATTTATAATTAAAGAAGGATAAAATAACAATCATTACCAATATTCGTTGTGTAATTTGTTGCGCCAAAGATCAACTCGGGCGCTCTATAATATCTTGAACAAATATATGAGACATTTGGTTCACCAGCTACTAAAATTTTTGCACTGCCGAAGTCACATAATTTTAATACGCCCGTGGCCGGATTCAGTAACAAATTTTGTGGTTTAATGTCACGATGACAGATGCCAAGAGAATGGATATAGGCAAGTGACCGGAAAAGTTGGTACATATAAAGTTTTATGAGAAGCATAGGCATTATTTGTTTGTTTTTAGCATACGAACGTGATGCTCTATAAACGGTTTCAGGAACGTATTCAAGTACAAGGTTAAGGTAAACTTCGTCTTTCTATATTTGTTATAAAAGTAATTAGCGACACACACATTTTTATTACAAAGTGATTTTCCGATTAAATTATATACCTTTTCACCATTAGAATAGAAAAAGGACTTCAAATACACTATATTTGGATGCGATACCAATTTCATAATTTGGAGTTCACGATTCTAGATCAAAATCAAAAAAAAAGAAAAGATTATATAAATATAAATAATTTATCTATAAAATTGCTTTGTAAAGAATTTTTAACAACATTACCGTTCTTAAAAAATAATTAGACATTTGACATTCTTAATTGACAAGTAAATTTTGAGATGTTCAATAATTAAAATAGCCTACCTTAAATCGTTTATCCTGAAGTACTTTTTTGATAGCAACTTCTTCGCCAGATTTAATTAGTTTTGCTTGATATACAACACCAAAAGATCCATTTCCGACTACTTTTGTGACTGTATAAGCTAATTCGAATTCTTCTGCCGTTTTTCCATCATTGGCAGTTACTTTGAATAACTTAGGAGGATCATCTAACGAAAGAGGAAACCGGATTAGTATATTACACAAAGCTTTAAAGTTAGCCTTGACAGATTAAATTAAGAGTCAGGTAAAAATATATGAAAACAGTACTGTTACCAATAAAATCAGTCTAAAGCGAGAAGTTATTAAATTCTCTTCGACAAAAATTGGCAGACCATTTCATAAAAAATATAATATTACTTACCAACTTTAATTCCATTGATGGGACCGTTCGACATAGTATTGTGTGGTGGCTTTGTTTCTGTTGCGTTATTAACAGCGACCGGTGCGCGACGTTTGTTTGACATCTGAACTTCGAAAGATAATTTGAAAAATTGTTTGGATTTATAAGATCAAAATGTCATGGAAACACATTTTTCCAAATAGAGAATGCTTTGCCAGTTCCTTTTATTTCGTGTAACTATTTTGGATAATAATAGGCACCTGATTAGTCAGCTGATACTCTCATTTGGGCCAGAGCCGGAAATTTTAAATGACTCGAAAGAAATGAAAAATTTTATTGAAATTTATTATTAAAAATCACTAGATAAATCATTTAAATAATTCAATGATCTTTTGGAGGAGAATCCCAACTACGATTAAAATGAGGCTCAAGAATTTGATGGATTTCGTTTAAGATTTTTTTTTCAATTTCCGGAATTGTTTTCTTTCCCTTTTTTCTTGCATGCAATTCTTTAAGAATTGCAATAGCCTCATCAACTTCACTTGGATTTGATAAACCAATTACAGTACTGGTAATATCATCATAATCTAAAGCGAATTGAAGTGCCAACTTCGAGATATTCAAATTATTTCTGGCTGCAAGCACAGCACTTTGCGTAACAGCATGACGCAAACCAGTTGAAGCTGGGTGCCATTCCGGTGGCTCACTATTACGCAGAAGTCCCATGCTAAGTGGAGATGCGTTCATTATATATTGAACTCCAACATACTTAAATTCTTGAATATAGTCGACTAATTTAATGTTATGAAGACAATAATGAGAATAAGAAAGAATGGCATCAATCGGTTGATCGCGTTCATATTGAAATCGTGCTATTTTCAGAAGCACATCTAGAGGATATCCTATAAATTTGAGAGAATATGAATTGATAGGAAACATGTTTAAATCCTCTTTTTAAATGTGACTTACCGCTTATTCCTACATATCTTATTTTTCCTTGTTCCTTTAAATAAATAAGGTTAATAATCTGCACATATCAAATTCCTAAATTTGAATGGAAAATATTTACTTTTAACTTGAATAGTTCGGGCAAAGCCCCTCCTTCTTCAACAACATCTTCGAAATTAACAAATTCTACGTCATGCGCGTATACAACATTTAAATAATCTGTGCATAATCGCCTGCAGCTTTCTTTAACACTTTCTTGAATTCGCTTAGCAGTGTAGTCAAAATTTTTCGGTCCATACCGACCTACTTTTGTGAATATGTAATAACTTGAACGAGGGAATTCTTCCTGTAAAGCATGAAAGGCAGAACCAAGGATTTTCTCGCTATCCCCGTAATATGGGCTAGTATCAAATGCATTAATACCTTATTATCATTTGAACATCGAAATAAATAAATTGGTAATAACAATTACAAATGGTAATTGAAATTTGTTAATATAATACCTAACTCGAAAGCTCTTCGAACGGATAGCAACGGCCAGTCCTTTTCAATATGATTATACCGACCACTAAAGACTCCTGCCCCGAATGTTATTTCTGGAACCTGAAATTTATTAGATTCTTTATTTTCCATAATAAATGTATTTAGTTTCAAGTTTCGTGAAAAACATTAATAAAAATTACTTTATGATGATGTGTTATTAATAATTCAAAATTTGATCACAGATGGTTTTTTAAAAAAAAAAATTTTTAAATAAGATCATCGTGCAGTTATTACGATTTGTAATTCCCGCAGTTTTACATTCTGCAATTTCCTCAAAGTAAAATAGTCGAACAATGGGCGACGATCCTTGGGATGATTGGGAAGCTGCTGCTGATGCTGGCGTATGATCTGCTTTTTGCTCTTTTCACATTACTAAAGCTAACTTTGTTGACCATTATAACCAGTTTTTTATTTCCTTTTATTAGTTAGATCCAAAACCTAGTAAAGCTGCTGATGAACATGAAAAAAACAAGCAATTATGGCAAGAAGCGTATGAATAATTATCTCACTTATTTCTAATTCGAATATTTTTTAAAGTATCTTGTTATAATTTTAATTCGATCACATTTAATTCACATAATAGAAACGCGTACGTACAGCCGGAGATAGTTCGTACAGACACAACACGTACAGAATACGTACCACAAGTATTTAGTTTATAAATTAGCTAATAGCGTTGTAGATATCCTTGTTTTTAAATGAATCGATCTAATTAACATTTTAAAATGATAGCTTCGTATTTTAAAGCGTCCAAAAAATCCGGGACCAACAACTACAACTCATACTGGTGACAATTTCTCCATAAGTTCACTGAAAAAATCTTTAGCAGAACGTGAAGCAAAATATAATGTAGCAAGACAAAAAATATTCGGTACTAATACTAATTCTGACGATAATAACAACGGAGAAAGCGTAATCACTGGGAGTGAGGGTCAGATTCTTGATGACAAAAAGGACATTTTGCAGATAAAAGATGGTAGTAAACTATGGGAAGAAAACATTCATTATCATAAACCAAAATCTATAGGCGAAAAAAGAATTGTTTCTCCAGCAAATTCACAGACGGAAGGATCAGACATTATACGGCAACCGATATCTCCTAATTATGGACAAATGGGTGGATTTAATAGAATGAAAATTATCAAGAATCAAAAATCTTGATGTAAAATAAGCATCAAAAAACTTATGATAAAAGACAGCTAAGTGATTATAAAAAAATTAGAAATATTCAGTAATATTATTATTTAATGCTTTAGAATTCTTATTGTTCTTGATCTATTAATTTTCAATGAACTGTTGAGATAGGAAAAAAGTAAAATAATAGCAACAACAATAATAATCATGTCATATCATTCTTTTTTTAATGTAATCATTAATTTTTTTTTTTTTGTAATTTTATCTTATTATATTACAAGTTTTTATTTTCAGATTAATTAAAGTTATAATTAGGTGTCATCAATAAAGTGTCGTTTCCGAACGATCTTCGACATTGTCAATCCTTTCTTCGCTACTGCTCCTTCTATCTCCACTTACAATTTGTATAATAGGTCCTTCTTTTTGAACTTGTTTGGAATGCGTTAAATCTTTTACATCATTCTTTCGACCGCGATCGCTCGATATTGATTCTAAGCTAGTTTCTGAAACAGTTCGACTATGTGTGCGGACATTTGGTGATATTGATTTCTTTTCTTTAGCTGTGGTACGCTTTAACATAGCCGTAAGCAAAGATTTATTATTATTGTTAACTGGAGATTTAAGATGTGAGTTATTCGATGGCGATATCAAAGAAGAATTAGAGAATCCATTATTTGTGGTCATTTGAGTTTCCTGTAACCCTTGAAGATTTTCAGTACTCGTGTCATTTCCGGCTCTTTTTATACTTTCTCTCATTGGATTGAAACCCGAAAGCCATTGTGAGGATGACCTTTCCTCTGAATTTTGTGATGTATTTGAATATATTTCCTTTAGACGTTCAGAAGCAGAGCTATCACCGGAAGAACCGAGAATACTCTGAACACTAGATAATGTTGTCCTATCAGGGCTTCGGACTGGGCTGAATGCACCATCTGAATCTTGATGTTTATCAGATAGCACTGTATTAAATGATATAGTACTTATGCTAGGATGAGTTCTTCGTTGTGGTAAAGAGAGTCTTCTTGTTTCAAACTGAAAGGAACCATGATTATGTTTTGGTCTTGTATTTACACATAACTTGTGAAGTTTTGGATATTTGATACTTGCAGATGAGTCTGTTAATCGTTCTTCTGCTGGTAAAAAACTTTCCATCTTATTTAGCGTTTGAAAGATTTCATGTATCATCTTATGAGTTTTTTCCACCTGTTTCATAAATACGTTGACTAAAAAATAAAAATCGATTATTTAAAATTCAATATCGTAAAGAATATGATTAAAATATCTTACCAATGCCCATTTGTTCATAATTAGCTTTTGCTTGTAATTGAGCAGCAATCACTGTCTGATTTATTTCCGCACAATATGTATCCGCTGATTTGACTGTTTCCATAACTATTCGCTAAAATCATATTATATAAATCGAATAGGATGTTTTTAAATTAAAAGGAAAATTCTAAATTTACCTGATCTTCACATATTTCTTCAGCACATTTCTTTATATGTGATTGATATGTTAATGAAAAATTAAACAATGATTCATATCCGAATGATGCTAAAATAGAATATAAATTAGGATAAGTTAAAAAATAATATCATAAAATGATATACATACGCTCTTTAACTTGATCCGATGATACAGGAGTAGAGCCCCATAATCCACTAAGTGTAAAACTTGTTTCGGGATGAGGTTTAATCAATGGTTCAAACTATAGTTTGTTAACTTTATTATCAAATTATAGAAAGTAGATGAAATATTTTATAGCAATTTGCAATCTAAATGTTAATTACCTTTGGGATTTTATCCAATTTTGTAATTTCCTGATCTAAATTATCTTTTTCATAAACTTTACTAACTGTGATAATGCCCTAAATTAATGTGAAATGAGTGTGTATTTCAATGATTATCATACATAATGAAATTACCTTCTCAATATCTCGCTGAATTATTTTTGAATGGTTTACTTCCGATCCTTCATTAATAATATCCTGGTTTTCATTTCTTTCTGTTATAATTTCATTAGATTGTCCAATTTCGCTTTTTGAAAGATTTTCGCTCATTTTTTTTTATTGATCAATGCACGAATTGACTTATCAGGGGAAGGGGCTAATTGAAAAAAAAAAATCACGTAAAAATGATATAACGAGATTGTAGATCAGATTTATTAGATTTATTAGTAATAAATTCGAAACTATTATCTATTTATGGAAATTGGTTCACGTGAGGTTTACATAAAATTATTGGTATATATAAACCTCTTGTTTTGTTTTCAAATTTGTAAAACATCTTCTTCCTCTTAGACTACGAATCATTTTTAAAAATGACTACACCAAGTAAACGTAAGTTAAAATTTTGCTACACCTTCGTAAAATAAAAATTTTCTTAAAATTTATTAAAAAAAAAAAAAATATTTAAACTTCTAGTTTATATCGGTCATCTTTCTTCAAGAACGGAAAAACGAGATCTCGAAGAGCTGGTAAGTAACTTAATATTCGTCTGGTTGTTATAAAATATATCTTCCCTGTTTGATCGCGATATATTTACTTATTATTTTCTTTGTCTTTTCTTTTAATAAAACTTTAGTTCGAACGATATGGAAAAGTATTAAGCGTGGATGTGAAGCCCATGGGATATGCATTTGTTGAGTTTGAGGTTAATAATAATGAGTATTAATATGGCTTATGTAGAAAGCTTGGTATGTGTTTGGATTGTCACATTGGTTGCAATTTACACGTCTCTAAAACACGTATTATTCCACCAATGGATCCTTAAAATCAATAGGATCCACGTGATGCTGATGATGCAGTTAAACAATTAAATGGATATGAACTAGATGGTGCTCGCATTGCTGTTGAATGGTCACGTCGGTCTGGCGGCCCAGGTAGTGGTTGCTTTTTATGTGGCGGACAAGGTCATTGGGCTAGGGAATGTCCTGATGCCAGGGAAAAAGGCATGGATGTTAGGAGCGGCCGATGCTTTCGATGCGGAGAATTAGGCCATTTGGCAAAATATTGCAGGTATATTATTTGATAAATTTTCTAGAAATTTTTTGTAATATTTGTTTCATTAAAAACTATTTTCCACAGGGGTGGCGGTGATTACGATCGTAGAGGTCCTTCTCCTAAATACGGCCGGGCTCGTTCTCCATACTACGGTGGACGTGGCGGCTCTTATTATGATGACTATGATCGTTATCGACGTTATTCAAGATCTCCACCTTACGGAGGTTCTGGTAGTGGTTCTTACAGTGGAAGAAATCGCTCGAGGAGTCCTTACAGCAGACGTAGTCCGAGCCCTTATTACAATGATTATGGAAGAAGAAGTCCGAGTCCATATGGGTATGTTTTAGGACGGTGACATTTATGTCACCAGAACTTTACAATCGTTGATTTTATTTTATCCTTTTATTTTCATTTCTGGAAATTTTTTTCTGGATCACTGGAAATGATAAATGATATCGAACCCGGAGACTTTTGCATGTTATGGAGACTTCGAGGCTTTTTTGTTTTGGAATGGACAAGGAGACTTGCTGACAATTTTTTTTGCTCTTTTGATGTTTTGACACTGGATACATATTTTCTGGATCAACTTTTCTTAGGCGTGGAAGAAAATATTAGGCATTCTGCTGGACTTACCAAGGGATGCGTTACTCATCGAAAGACTTTTTAATGCAGTATGGAATCTTCCTCAAGTTTTTTTTTTCGGGATTAGAACTACGAATGGATCGGATTTTCTTTCTCTCTTTGCAAAATTCGGACTCGGTTACTATATCGGAACTACTACGAATCTCTGAATAATATTAAAGATATATTCATTATTTTGTCTTAAATAACTTGTTTCAATATTTTCTGATATAATAAATTCGAGGAACTTAAATTTAGAAAATTAATGCAATAACATACTTTTCTTTGTGTTTATAATTACTGTTTTGCTTTGATAACAATAAAACGTACTTTTTATAAATATATTTAATTCGATTCTTTAATTTATTTAAAGATATATTATTAAACAATAACCGAATCATTTTGCTAACGAATAAATAAGTAATTCATTTAATGTATTTAATGTTCTCTTTTCGCAAAATTTGATGTATTTGTAAAATTTATGTCATTTCATATTTTGGACCATCTCCGCCTTCGGGTGTTACCCAATCGATGTTCTGAGATACATCCTTAATATCACAGGTTTTACAGTGTACACAATTTTGTGAATTAATTTGTAAGCGCTTTTCGCTTGGGTTATTTTCGTCGTCAACGAATTCATACACACCGGCTTTCATATAATATAAGAAGCAAAATATAAAATTATTATGGATTCATTTATACAATAGTAAAAGAATAATTATTTTGATATACCTGGACAAAATCTTTGTTCAGGTCCACCAAAAATTTTCAGATTTCTTTCAACAGGTATCTTTTTATCTCGAACTCTTAAATGCACAGGTTGATTTTCTTTATGGAATGTTCCACTTCGAGAAACACTCTCGAGAAGATCAAATGCAACAACACCATCAGGTTTAGGATATTCTATTGGTTTACATTCTCTATTGTAATGAAGAACGAATTAGCAAATTTTTCAATTAAAAAATAAATAAATTGTTAATTAATTACTTTGCTGGTTTTAAAACAGCATAATCTTCATGACGATGTTTAAATGTCCATGGAGCTTTTCCTTTCAGAAACAACATTTCTAGACCAGCATATAAGATAAATCCATATACTCCAAGAGGGGTATTTATTGAAGGTCTAAAATTTCTCACTTTATACAATTCTTCATATACCCATGAATTCTTAATTGATTCCTCATATGCAGTGAGTGTTATTGGTCCATGTGGTAAATTAGATGTAATTGCATCATATGCAGCTTCAGCGGCGAGCATACCAGATTTCATTGCATTGTGTGTTCCCTTTATTTTAGGAAGATTTAAAAATCCGGCGGTACAGCCAATAAGGGCACCTCCAGGAAAAACTAACTTCGGGATAGACTAAATAAAGTATATTGTAAGGATTCTGAATTTAAACTACAAAAAGATTTCAATGAAGTATACCTGATATCCTCCCTCATTAAGAGCTCTTGCCCCATAACAAATAACTTTTCCTCCTTCAAGACATTTTCTGATTGATGGGTGAGTTTTATATTTCTAAGAAAACGAATTAGTCAAACTGTTATAAAAACTTTTTTTTAAAGAAAAAAATTTTACCTGGAATTCTTTATATGGATACAAATATGGATTCTCATAATCTAAAGAAATTATAAACCCTATTTGTACGATATTATTTTCCATGTGATACATAAAACCTCCACCGTATGTTTTATAGTCTAAAGGCCATCCGGCCGCATGTAAAACATAACCGGGAACATGTTTGGCCGGATCAACTTCCCAAACTTCTTTTATGCCAATTGCATATGTTTGTTGTTGTTTACCTTCACGAAGATTGAATTTTCTTATCAAGGTTTTAGTAAGCGATCCATGGCAACCTTCGGCAAATAGAGTAACTTTGGCTTGGAACTCCACACCACGTTCAAAATTTTCTTTTGGTTTAAAATCTTTATCAAGGCCCATATCGTTTGTAGCAATACCGCGTACACTACCATCCTCGTTATATAAAACCTAAAATGATGCATCATATAAAAATTCAAACCGACTATAACGAAAGCTCAATAATTTAATAATGTTGATCATGATCTAACCTCGCTTGCAGCAAAACCAGCATAAACGTCAACTCCAACTTGTTCAGCTTGTTCTCCTAACCATTTTACAAAATTGTTCAGACTAACAATATAGTTGCCTTTGTTTCTCATCAGTGATGGAAGTGGTCTAAGAGGGATAGATAATTTCTCTGTGAGGAATCTCATATCATCTTTAAGCACTGGTTGATTTAAAGGTGCTCCCCGTTCTTTCCAATCAGGTAAAAGTTCGTTCAATGCTCTTGGCTCAATAACCGCACCGGAAAGCGTATGAGCGCCTTCAAAAATGTCAATTATCAGAAATGTATATATTATATAAAATAATACTAAGGTACTTAATTTAATAAATTACATACCTAATTGACTAGCTTTCTCTATAACTATTACATTAATCTCTTTTCCTTCAACATTTGCTAATTGTTTTAAGCGAATCGCAGCTGATAATCCTGCTGGGCCAGCTCCAACTATAATAACATCAGTATCAATGACCATACGTTCAGTAGTGAGTCGTGGATCGACTTCTTGGTTCGAGACCGACGCAAAATTTCGAGAGGAAGTTATAAAACTTCCATATGGGGAATTTAGCTTTTTAAGACGAGATAACTGTAAATTCTTATGTAAAAGAGAGGTTTGAGATAAGGTAAACGGAATCCTCGCACGTATTGGGAAGCCCAATAAACTGTTAATTCTAGGTAATCGCCAAAAACCCATTACTACAACGTATAATTTTATTTTGTCTTACTAAAGGATATTTTATTATTATCTTATCAATCTCGTTAAAGATTTGATTGGATACATCCATCTACAGATTTTAAAAATTATATTTTAATTATAGAAATATCAAATTGTAGTTTACGACAAATGGAAGAGTCTATTCCTAAACCCGCTGAGAATAACAATCAAATTAATAGTAATTCGGCCGAAGAAGAAAATCCTCTGGCCTTCATTTCAAGTGATTATTTTCTCGGTTCGGAGCCTGAGCTTGCATCAGAAAATAGAAAGAGAAAACGAAAACGCAGAAGTCGTTCTCTTGAAAAAGCAAATAAATTAGCAAAAAATGAAGTATGTTTCGTAAACAAAATTTTTATTTATAAATAAAGTATTTACCCATTTCTTTTATTTGTAGTCAAGTGTCAAAGTAAAAAAGACTAGACCAAATTATTTTCTATCCGTTCGTCTTAATTCTAAAGGAATACAAGAAAAATTTAATGAATTTTTTAATTATGTGTCTAAAAAATTCCCGGAATATAACAAAATGCTTATAAATCCTCAACAGGTAACTATATTATTCCAATTTTATTTTAATTTATCTTATTAATAATTTTGTGGATTTATATAGATACATATTACGCTCTTTGTACTTCATCTAGGAAATGAAGATAGTATCGGAAATGCAAAGAATTGTCTATTAACTAGCAAAGATGTAGGTATTTTTATTTATTTATTAACGCACAATTACAATATTTTAAATGTCGAATTGCTAATAGCATAATTTACCAGATCATGAAAGACTCTTGTCCAAATTACAAGCCGTCTCTTCATTTCCAAGGAATCGGTATTATATATATTTTACTACCTTTTATTCTTTTTCATAAAAAAAAGTCCCGATAATCTTTATTAATTTTCGATTATATATGAACAGATGTATTTAATGGAGGTCGAGTAGTATATACTACACCAAAGAATAACGATGATTTGGTTGCCTTTACAAAACTTACATATGCTCTTCATGAAAAATTTCAACGAGAAGGCTTCGTAAACAATGATATAAAAAAAGAATTTAAACCTCATGTGACACTTATGAAGTTGAGAAGGAAGACAATAATCAAGCATAATGATGGGAAAAAGAAAGAGGTCATTAAACGCATTTTACCTGAAGTTTATGAACATTTTAAAGGTAAAAATTTTAAATTATTTAGTTCTATTTACTCAATTAATAAATTAAATTTGTGTTCAATAGGATTTGATTTTGGAACTCATTATCTTGAAAGCGTGGAATTGTCTTCAATGCTTTTACCCAAAGGTGACGATGGATATTACGCTAGGTTAGGAAATATAGAATTTTAAATATATATCAGGTATTCTTACTTCCGACCACGTGTAAGCCCAATTCGATTTGTTTTGATTAAGCCAGTGTTTTTTATTAAAAATATTTTATTATTTAATGTTAAATAATCTTGTAATTTAATAAAAAATAAAAAATTAGTATTATAAATTTTTTAATCTTTGGAATTTTTAGAATTGGAATCCTTGCTCATTTACGTAAGATAATTAATTTGAAACAGTTACAATACCTATTATAATAGAGATCATCAATTATTGTCCAAATATATAATTAACAAACCGTGTATAAACTATAAACTTTTGCAAAAGTGGCTCAAAGATAAATCCTTATTCTGATATATCTACCGCGTGATGTCAGCTAGAGATTATGTAAAGTAATATCAGTATCTGAACACAAGCAGCATTCTAAAAATAACACGAAATATTGTAAACTGTCTGTCTATTTCTCCTTTTATAGTTATCATTTTTGTATAATAAAATATTTTCATCTTTTTTTTAACTGGGACTACTTAGATTATTTAACTTTACAATTTAGTGAGAGAATGAGTAGCTTAGAAGCTGGTCCATCTTCATCAGCAAGGCAAAAAAATAGATTATCGGGACCTGGTTCAACGAACGTTACCGAAGAGGCAGTATATGAGTATGCCTTACGTGTCGCGTATTTGGCACATTTAACACAGCCAAAAGTTGCAAGAGCTATACCCTCTTCAGTTACCCCTGTTAGACCTACTCTTGATCCTGCATTAAAGCGAGGCAGTGTTACAGGGAAAGATCCAAATAGATCCATCGAGTATGTTATTAGAGATCACTTTTCAGCTTTTCATGATATTTTCAAAGATGAAAAAAAGTCGACAAAAAGTAATAAAATTCCTAAAGAGTTGGTTAAAATATTGAGAAATAGACTTGGTGATATTACAAGTGGTAGGGATCAAAACCCAATTTTTTTGGATCCTTATTTACAGAGGGATCTTAAATTATTTTATCAGGCTTTACAACAGCCAGGTTTTCGTAAGCAATTTAAAGAAAGTAATTCTAAAATTGAGGATCTTGTTTTAAACTATCTTAAGATTGCTCAGGAGGAACTTAAACAAGCTCAATTGCCTGCAGATATTACATGGCAAGCTAAACTTCAAGATCATGTTAGTATATTTGTGGGTATATTAAAAGAATGTCTTCAAACAAAAGAATGCGCTTACTCAGTAACTCCTGAAATGATGGCACGGTTAGAGATGTATCAATCAAAAATGTCGGGTGGTCCAAAAACACCACATACAACCACGAATGGGGTTAGTATGAATGTTGAAGACATGGAAATGGTTAAAGTAGTTCAGGCAATTTTCAATATTTCCCCTCAACAAATTCAGAAAGATATTAATTTACTAAGAAAAGATTGTACTGAACAAGTAAGTTTCTTAAATTTTATTATTATATTTATTATTTCTGAAGTTGGAAATAAATAAATTTTTTTAATATGTAAGGCTGCATTAGAAGACCTTCGGAACATTATAAATCATGTAAATCGTGGTGCAGCTTTCCCAGCTCGTAGAGATGATTTTGCTTCGGATGAAGCTTATAATAACTGGAAAACAATTGAGCTAAAACAAATTTCCGAAAACATGAAAGTAATGATCGCACTTAATCCAGGCTTAGGTTTAGCTTCAAAAAAGACAGAAGTACGTGAGACACTTTTGTCAGGGGATAAAAGAGTATCATTATCATCAAATCCGCGACGACAAACGTTTACAGGGTCAATGCATCCTGAAACTATGAATGATGCTTTCCGTCAATATGAAGCAACACGTTCAACTGAATGTCAGGTGCGTTCTGATTCACAATATCCTCCACAGAATCCATCGGGTTATCCATATACACAATCGCAACCACCACATCCTTCCTATAATTCACAACAGCAACCACCAACATATCCACCCTATAGTCAACCATATAATCAATATAATCCTCCACACAATCAACAATATAATCCTCCGCACAATCAACAATATAATCAACCATATAATCAACAATATAATCAACCATATAATCAACAATATAATCAACCATATAATCAACAATATAATCAACAGTATAATCAACAATATAATCAACCATATAATCAACAATATAATCAACAATATAATCAACCATATCCCCCACCTAACTCGCAACAGCCACTACAACCTAACGAACCAAAGGAAGCGCTCAATCCACCTATTGAGGTTCGTGTATCATCATGGGTACTCTGTATATATACATTTTTTACATTACTTGTAACATTTTATCATCTCATGTTTAGTCAAGTAGCCAAGGAGAGTCTTTTGTTTTCATTCCGCCAAATCCTCGTGGTTATTACAAGTATTTAATATACAAGTGTATAAATTACGAGTTAACACGCATGTCACACGAAGAGGCTTCTATTAAAATCCTTTCAAAAAGTACTTTGGATTTACTTAATGAATGTGGATTGCGTTGGAGGGTCTCACCTGCGTTTAGATGGTTGCAATATTTAGACAATATTAAGAGTCGATATGATAGCTTCGATTCTGAAACACAACCTCAGATTAGTTTGGACCATATAAAAGAAGGGTTTCATTTATTACACGATGCAATTAGGATACGGCCTATAGATACTTGGACAATTTCCGATGTTTGTATTTTTTAATTCCGTTTTTTTATTCATTTTAAAATTTATGAACAAATTTCATACGAGTTTCTTCGTGTACAGAAAAGGGAGCTTATTGAAGTATTTTCGGGAATTCATGATTCCTTATTAAGAGATCTGAAAATGGGATTAGCATACTATTACAAGATCAAACCGTCAAGTTTTGATCTAAATTTTTTTTTGATGCAAATGATTCACGAAAATGAATTATTCAAAGAAAAATACGCGAATATTCTATCATCTTTATACAATGAACATAGGTCTTGTGTTATTGTAAGTGCCTTTATATGTACCCTATGTTTTAATCATTTTTTAAAGCTTATTATCAAAAAAAAAAAAAAATATTTTTTTATACAAAAAAGGAAACGGCCATTAAGAAATATCAGGAAAAGAGAGACCAGAATTATGCACAATCTGCTAATGAGGTTCATGCTCTAGTATCTATTGCTCAATGGTTTCAACAAGAATTAGATAAATTGCGAATTAAATTTCCAACGCCTTTAATGAAGTTTGTAAAATTTCCGTAATTTATTAAATAATTATTTTTTTTTTTCTTTTTTAAAAAAATATAACATCTTTCTATTATTATAATGTAGCCAAATCGACGTTATTGGTTTGGTAGTGAGAACACAAATTCCTCTTTATACTGCGGACATGGAAAACGCAGCAACTGAAATTTTGAATAAAGTCAAAATGACACCTGACGAAGGAATTCCTGTTGAAGACATTTTCGATTTGTATAGAGAAGTAATTACTCTTAAACAAATCTTTGCAGAGATTTGTCATGGGTTAGTTATTATTATAAGTTTCTTTTTTTAAAAGGTTTAAGTAATTTTGAAAATATTTTCTAACCTATCTTGGTCTCTTACAGTGAAACGTTTTCCTTTAATATTCAGGAATGGTTTGGACCTCATGTTCGTAAATGGTTAGAAGCCATGGATGCTAAAACTCCAGATTGGGTTTCTTCTGCCGTCAAAGTTGACAAAGTAAATGTTATCGGTAATTACTAAATATGGTTTGTTATTAGACATGAAATTATAATAATAATCAACAAATTTTATTTCAAACAGTTTCAAGCAGTTAGTTCTACAGATACCCATTCTTCTTCTGTAGTAGATCTCTTCACATCTTTTAACCAAACCATTGACTTTCTTAAACGATTAAATTGGCCAAACGAGTATCAAGCTGCTCGTTATATGACGAGCTTATCTAGGGTATGTTAACGTATTTCGGGATGATTTTTTACTAAATGTAATAACAAATTTGCTTAATTTCTTTTTATATAGACTATCAGTAAAGCTTTAGAGCAATATTGTAATGTCATTGAAGACAAGTTTAAGGAAGACACGTTTCCACCAGAAGAAACAGGACAACAAGTAACAAAACAATCGGCGTGGTATGTAAGAACGAAAACTGCTATAGCAACCGATAAAGTCGCCCCTTTTGATATTAAACCTGAGGTAATGGTTTTATCCAATCATTCATTCCCGATTTCATTGTATATTTCCATATAGCATTCAAAATTCATTTATAATTTATTTCTTAACAGTCTTGCATTAAAATTAACAATATCGAAGCGGCACATGAACAGCTTGATAATCTGTATACTTCGATGGATGTTGACTATTTGGCTCAAGTTATTCGTGATTCAAATCCCATTCAGCCTGTTCCAGAAAAGGTGGAAAAAACTAACAGATATCTCTATACAATTAAAATAGTTCAAGCAGAAAATTTGCCTGCACTTGATACCAATGGCTATAGTGATCCATACTGTATACTTGCGGATGAAAAAAACAGTACTTTAGCCCAGACACGTGTAATATATGAAACGTTGAATCCACGTTGGGATGAAGCATTCGATATTACCATTGAAGAAACGGATAAAATGCGATGGTTAGGCGTTACAGTTTGGGACAGAGACCAAGTTGGTTCTGATGATGTATGCGGGAAAGCTTATATCAGACTAGATCCCAATTACTTTAATGACTTCTTGGCACATGATGTGTGGCTAGATTTAGATCCACATGGCAGAATTTTATTAAGAATAAGTATGGAGGGAGAAAAGGACGATATTCAATTTTATTTTGGAAAAGCGTTCAGAACATTAAAACGTGCACATGACGATATGGCAAGAATAATTGTTGATAGAGTAAGTACAATATGAACTTGTTTTTATTTTTATTTATCTATGAATTAATGAATGCTAATCATTTCTTATTCTATAGATGTCTCCATTTTTGAGACAATGTTTATCAAGAGAAGTCATTAACAGACTTCTGAAACCCAATTCAAATGGTTTTACCATATTTAAACCATCTGATAAAGGAAAGAAAGTCGAATTATCAGATTTAGAAATTGAAGGAGCGATTGACCCTCTCTTCGATTATTTTGATACTAATTTAATGACACTCAATAGCTTTTTACACCCTGCAGTGTTCACAAAGGTAATGACTAAGGTATGGAAAGAAATAGAATCTATAATTGAGGAACTGTTGGTGCCTCCATTGTCTGATCGGCCTTCAGAGATGAAACCACTTAATGATACTGAAGTTGACACTGTAATTAAATGGCTTAAGGTAAGAGACGATTACTTTTTTATTATTTGCTTAGATGCTTCATTAATAAGTTACTATTGTTATATAGTTCCTTCATAATTATCTTCATGCTGACGGGAACGGGTTATCAAAAGATGAAGTACTCGAAAATCAAAAATATCTTCTTATTCTTCAAATAAGATACTACTATGATATGGAAACTGAAACCCTTATGCAAGAATATCTTAGTAATCAAATTACAAATACATTAACACCGGTTAAAAAATCAGCAAGCATGAGTAAATCAGTGCTTAATTCACGTAACTTAGGGACAATTAAAAAGCGAAAAACTCAAAAACGTAACAATACTAATCAAGATAATAGTGAAATTATCTTAAGAATTTTAAGAATGAGATCCGGCACTAAAAATTTCTTGAAACAACAAATGGAAGAGCGAGCTAAAAGACAAGCTACTGCTTCTTCAGCTTTGGAAGATGCACAAAATGTCGAAACATAGGGTTTTCAAATATATGTCAGACTTGATTTTATTTCTAGGGAAAATTTTATAATATTAATATATATATATATATACTTGTATATTTTTCAAATTTAAACTTTTATATTAATTATATTCTCGTATATCATACTTTATTCTTATAATAATAAAATTTATTTTGACGTCTTATTTATTTATTTATTAAGAAACGACTACAAAAAAACTTTATCAATCAATTTATCTTCCAAGCCCGAATTTTTCATTAATTGTAATAAACATTTCCCAGCTTCTTCAACCTCATATACTAAATCATCGATTGGTTGAGTAGTCTTTTCGATTGATCGTAAGTGTAAGGAAAGAGATTTTTCAATCTCACAAAGTTGATCATCTTTTTCAGGCTTCATAATCGCAAAAAACAATTAAAATAAATATGTACGATAAAACATACTACATCAACTATATCAACTATATCAGTAAACTTACATCATATGATTTATTTTTCGATAGTTTAAATTGACTCTTGATTAATTCTTCATCAATTTCAACCGCTTCTCCCAATTCTTCTTTCAATAAAGGATGAAGCTAAATATGAAAAGATTAATGTGCAATTCTGGGCAAATACAAAGAACCTTTTTTTGCATATTGTTATTTATTACCTTATTCCGTTGAAGCATTTTATTTCGACTATCCACGGCTTTCTTGTCACTACGGAATTTAGTCAAACTCTTCGTATCTTCATGCAAAAGCCTTCAAATAAAGAAATAGTCAAAAAAGCATATTATAAAAACATGATAAAATTTCTAAATTAGAAACACTTGCTGTTTCTCATGTTCAAGTTGCATTTCCATTTGGCTGATCTGATCTAATTCTTGAGCAAGTGTCAATTCCAGTGATCGCTATATAATATTGAAAAAAAATTAAAGGATTATCGGATTTATATCAATAATTGTGATTAAAAAGTTACTTACATTTTGAGAATGAAGTTTGTCATAATCAAAATTGACAGTTTTTGAAGTTTTCGGAACTTGAAGTGTTTCCAATTTTTCGTCAATTCTTGAGGATACACATAAATAACGTAAATAAATAATTGTATATAGATATAAAAGTACAAAATTAATAATAACAAATGATTTACTTTGTTATAAGTTTGTCTAACAAATCTCGCAAATTAGCCTTCCTCTTAGTACCGCGAGTGTTATTCAGCACGGTACTACGCGTTTTCCGTAGATTAATAATTAATAATTGATAAATATATTATTGTGAATATAATTTTGCTTCAAATTCAAACCTACGGAATAGAGTTCAATACCAAATCATGAATATGTTGTCTCGACTTTGTACTTAAGGTCTTCCAGCGTTTATCAACCGTGTTTTGAGATACAAAACGATATTGATAAAATTCTTCACTTGATTCTTCGTTATCACTCTCTTCTTGTTCATGAATGTTGATTGAATTATTTACCATTATGAAATTAGGCTTTTTTTCTTTTTTTAAGAAAAAAAAAAAGACGCGTAAATATAGAGTTACTTCCGTGCCATGCATATAAATTGTCATCTATGCCATATGTGTCACATCTCCACGTTTTTCCCGTTTTCGATTCGCGTTTTCAAAATTATTCCGATTTTTTTTAGGTTATGCTCAGCATGACATGACGGAAATGTAATCATATTTTTTATAGATATGTATGTTTTAAAAAGGCAATTACACAAGCCTTACAACTCTTACTGAATTCAATTATGCTTTTATGAAAATTACTACTGTAAAAAGGATTTTGTTGCCCAATAGGATTTGAAAATCATGACATCTGTTCAGAAATTATAAATATATCGAGTATCGACTTTTCTATATTCATATCTTAACAATCTTTCTTTAATATTTATTTTCTCCATGTCTAATCCACCTCCCGAAGTCCCAGGACAAGTTGTAGATTCTAAATATCTTAAAGAGCTAAGGTCAAGAGTTAAAGAATTAGTCGGCGTATCAAAGTTGGTGTAGTTTTTTTTTATTCAAGCGATTATGTGCGAAAATAAGCCAGCCAGAATTTTTTTTTTGCTATCTCACGTCACATAATCGTTCTTTAGTATAAAATTTTCGCATATATTTGATGTTCCTTAAAAATTTAGACCATATTATTCTAACTACACAACTGTATCTTTCTTTTTTTCTACATAGCTTCCCTGGTATGTAATGCTCATACTGCGCATGTTTTCGAAATTATCACATTAAAATTTGTTCTTCTAACAGGAGCACAACCAATTAGTTTCAATTCCGCGCATTTACAAGAATTGCAAAATGAAAAGTTCGTAATATTTAGTGTTATAAGTCGTTTGTTTCTTAGTAACTAAAAAAAATCAAATCTTTTCTCTAGTTATTTTGTTTGTGAAAAGACAGATGGAACACGTATATTAATTTATATTACATGTGATAATTCTGGCCAACAAGTATTTTTGGTCAGTATTTTTGTTAAAAAAAATATCAAGTTTAGCCTGTCACATTAAAGTAAAATAGAAATGCCAGAATTCACTTACTAAGTAAAAGAATACAGATCGATCGCAAGAATTATTATCGATTTGTACCAAGTTTATTTTTTCCTATTCCTGATGATCCAACATTTTCTCAATTTCATCATGAAACATTGATTGATGGTGAATTAGTAAATGATACTGAAAGTGACGGAGAGGTAATTAAAATTATTACAATTATAATATATAAATATATAATAAATTATACAATTTTTTCAATTTTTTGCAATATTTTTACTTATTTTACTTATTTCTTACTTATTTAGATTACTTTAAAACTCTTAACTTTTGATTTGTTAGTAATAGATAGAAAAAATTTAATGAATAGACCCCTTACTAGTAGATTGGGTGTAAGTCAGTTATTAAAGGATGTTTTATTATATAATTACAATTTTTCAAATTTTAATTGATATATTTTTTGTTTTAAAAAGTATCTTAAAGAAAATATTATAAAACCTTATAAAAATATGTTATTAAAACGACCGGAACTTGTTCAAACGCAACCATTTATGTAAGTTTATAATCTTTATTATTATTACTAAATTATTTATTTAATACGTATAACGATGACATCTAATTATTTTTTATATTTAAATATATATATATATATGTATGTATGTGTATGTGTGTATATGTATATATATATAATTATATAAAAAAAAAGTATAGACCTAAAACAAATGGAATTTTCTTATGGATTAGATAAAGTTCTTGATTCCATACCAAATTTAAGGCATAGTAGTGATGGTTTAATTTTTACATCATCAATAGCAGGTTATAAAACAGGAACTTTTGAAAAAATGTTAAAATGGAAACCACCTAATGAAAATTCTATTGATTTTTTATTACGTTATGATTTTCAAGATGATGAGGATAAACCAAGATTTTGTCTTCATAAATGGATAGCAAATAATGAACATGCTTATTATGATGAAATGCATGTTACAGATGATGAATGGAATGAGACGTAAGTAATTTAAATTTTATATATCATTCTTACTATTTTTTTTTCATTGTGTTAAAATTTTATTTACCGTTATTAGTTGGAAACATGATTATAAAAATCATGAAGGAAAAATTGTTGAAGTAGTATATGATCCTACAATGAATCCACATGCACCTTGGAGATTTTTAAGATTTCGTCATGATAAAATACGTGGTAATCATCAAAGTGTAGTTGAAAAGATACGGCAGAGTATAATGGATGGAATTACTGAAGAACAGGCACGTACTTTTTTTTCGTTTTAAACATTACAAAAAAAGAAAAATATTTAATATTATTCTTTTAATTTATCAGTTACGCTCACAAATAGCATCAATTCGGGAAGCATGGAAAAGAAGAGATGAGGAGGCGAATAAACCTAAACAACTTAAAAGACCAAAACCTGAAGACAAATCTGAAAATGAAAGTAGAGAAAGGTTAGAAAATGGCAATAAATCTAATAAATCTAAAAGATTAAAATATGATCGTGAGGATAATAATGAAAACGATAAAAAGTCTCACCGTATTAATGAGGACACTGGGTGAGAGTGATGAAAAAGTTGACGTTAAACTTTTGCTATAAATTTATAAATTCTACTTTCTACTTTCTACTTAATTGTATTCCAAATCTGCAAACTTGCCAAACTGTTTTACCGTTTATTTATATAATATTATAGAGGACATTTTTTTTTTTTTTAATAATAATCATAACTGTCAAGGAAGGTATGTGTGTGAACATTAATAAAATTCGCACTATACCAGAAAGATAGTAAAAATTATAGGCGTATAAATTATAAAATATATCAAACATTTTCAACTTTCAATCAGATATAGAAGACAGCAATTTAAAAGATTTATTGTATTAATCAAAATCATAAAATAAAGTTCCATATTTCAGCTGGTATTATTCGATTAAAATTAAATAATATAAATTTATCATAATAAAATCTATTATTTTTACATTTGATCTATTTGATCTAATAAATCTTCTGCTTCTTTAACTTCTTCGATCTCGGGGCTACTAAATTGAAGCGAAATATGAATTTATATTAAAAGGAGGAAAAAAAAAAGAGACAATCAATAATTTATTAATAACTTACGGTTCTGGCTCCTCAATGGGGACCAAAATATTTTCTAATGAATTACTTGATCTTGTAACAGGTTTACGACCCATCCTATCAATTAGAATCGAATTTATAAATAAAAATAAAGTTTAATAACATACTCGAAACGACAGCAATCTTTTATTACCTTCTAGATTTAATCACTTGACCACGAAAAGTTTTAGTTAAAACAGATTCGGGACGTTTTTGTGGTTGTATTTCTTGTAATTCTTCTTGATCTTCTTCATTTGTTGATTCACTTGCAATTGTACTCTTTGACTCGAAAGCATCATCTACTTTAGTTTTCTTTGAAGGAGAAAAGGCGTCAGTAGGAAGAGGCCGTGAAGATTTACCACGAGTATTAGCATGTTTGCTGGATTCACTTTCATTCGATAACTCTTCTTCAAACTCATTTTCATCTAAATGTTCATCATGCGAAGCTTGTAATTCTGATGACATAATGGCACCTGTTAAAAAGTAATAAAATTAAAATTTACAAGAAATCCTATTTTATAGGAGAAGTGTTAACCTTATATTCAAAAGGTTTGAACGTCTTTAACCCTTATAATAAATAATTAATTACTTAATAAATTTAAATAACCCCACATACCATTCGCATTCAATACTTTCATCAATTTTTTCACTTTCTTTTTCTTGGTATTCATAACTTTTTTAAACTATACGAAAAAAATATATTCATTACATTATATTAATTAAACATATTGATGAGTTCACACATATTACACATATTGTAATTACCTTTTCTATTAATAATGTTTGATTATGTATCTTTTCGTCAGTTATTGATTCAATTTTTTCTTGCATTTGTCCTTTAATTTCCTCCAAATCATTAACACGTAATTCATACGTGATTTTACTTTTCTATTATTAAAATGATTAATCAATATTAAATAATTTGATTTTGATTTGAATTAATCTGCTTACTAAAAGCTGATTTCTTTCTTCAATAAAAAAATCCATCCATTCTTGCCACATCTTTATAGTTTCAAATTGCGAGACCGGATTTAATGAAATACTTCCAAGTGTAAATTGTAATTCCTATTTTTTTTTTAGTTAATAATAATAATAAATAATAATAGTAATTCAAATTCAACTAACCATTGTAGATTTTGATTTTCCAGTTTGTTGCATCGACCAATTCCATGTTATCTAGTTGATTAAGAAATGAAAATTACTTAATATATTTTAAAAACAGAATGGATAAAAAAATTGTAAATTTAGTACCTTGGCATGTTGTTCATTAACAATAATATTACAAGATAATTTTTGATTTCCATATTTATCGTTTCCTGATAAAGCCGCTTGAGTAGCTTCACAAAAATCTTTAGGATTTCTTATATTATCCGGTTTCGTATTTTTTAAATCCAATAATGTAACTATATACATATATAAATAAACGGGTCATTAACGGGTCAATTAACGAAATATGATAATCATTTAATACGATAATCATTTAATACAAACCATTTCGCGCCCAAAAAGATTTACAATCAGTTAATGATAAATCACAAATAATTTTTTCGTCTCGACCTAATAGATCTTTGAAAGGGTTAACTTTCCAATTAGATCTAACATAAAATATTTTGTCTATTTCATTTTCTTTTGTAGATAATTTAAAACAAGTGATGGAATTATATTGATTTGTCGTCATTTTTCTTATAAATAAAAGAAAATTTTATTATTAAGTTAAAGTAACGTGAAAACTTTAAAAAAGGTTGAAAGAGAAGTCTAAATAATAAAATAGAGGTTTGAAAGTAAACATGAAGTAACATCAATCTGGAATTTATTGAAATAAACAAAGATCCAACCAATCAGATTCTAATAAATCATATGATTTAATCCGAAAATCTGAAATATAAATTTTGTCAACTTTACGAAAATTAGTAACTAGTTTACGGGATTTTTAACCACAGCACTCTTAATTGTATAGTTATTCACTAGTAATAGTTGTTTACTTCTTTTATGTACTCGTCATTGGTTACTCCTCTCTGAAATAAAATAAATAAATAAATTACGAAAATTAGTAAAGTAGGCAAATTTGATTTTCAGTTATATTTTTTTTATATTTTTTATATTTTTTTTAAGTATAAATAATATAAAATTAAGTATATATTTTAAAAAAAATTTAGGTGACCCTTAAGGGAAAAACTGAGTAAAGAAGGTAATAAACATCAAGCCTCATCTACTAAAATCCCTCAAACATCAACTGATAATGCTTCCTAAAAGTACCATCCTACTTCAACTTTGTACTTTGCAAAAAGACCTTTGCAAAGAAACTAACAGGGAAACTTCATACAAATGCAGAGTATTTTTAAACATATTTTTATTATAAATATTTTCTTTTATAGAGATACAGTATATATTTCAAAGATACAGTATATATTTCAATTAATAAAACAATCAGAGATTCAGAAAAATAATCACTTACTTCAGAAAGAGCTAGAATTGAAGCTAATATTATATAAAGAACCGACATAATTTTAAAAATGAAAATTATAAATTATAAAACTTTGATGAAAATTATCTGAATCTAAAAATTTTCAAATTTTGAAAACGAAAAAAGAATTTTGAAAATGAATTAATTAAAGTTGTAATAGTATGTATATTTCACATCCGAGCATTCGAGATTTATGAAAAAAATGTATTAACAAATCACATTTGGAATGAAAAAAATGTGTAGAAATGGCAGAAGAAGATAAAGAGAAAACAGCATTTATCTGTTCACAAGGATTGTATGAATATAATGTTATACCATTTGGATTAAAGAATGCACCAGGAACATTCCAAAGGTTGATGGATGAAATATTAAAAGAATATATTGGAGAATTTGTTACAGTATATTTAGATGATATAATGATATTAATAAATGCTAATTTTATATGTTAAGAACTCAAAATTTTTAGATTATACAACCTACAAATATTAAAAATTATACGAATTATACGCGAAAAAGAATAATAGAAGAAAAAATATTAAATTATACGAATTATACGCGAAAAAGAATAATAGAAGAAAAATGAATACTTTTTAACACAATCAAATTATAGAATCGTTAATTTATACGTTACGTAACATTTTGTATTTTTACACGAATTACTGTATCATATACAGGTTTTTAAAAAATACATGCAAAATGTTATTTAAATTTTGTCCATTTCAGTATTATTTTAATAATATATTTTAAGAATAAATGGTTCGAATTACCTTATGCTATTGTGGCCCGCATTATAAATTTTAACGTTAACTCCTCCCTAAAGAATTCTCGCCCATATATAATCCGTACATATCAAATATGAAACATAAAAAAACAAAGAAAAAAGATGAAAATTACAATTATTTCTCCGTAAAATAATGATCAATGAATAAATAAACCCCTGAAACGAATGCTGTCAAAAGTTAGGGATGGTCGAGATCCTAGGTGAATCGATTTCATGTGATACTTCTTTTTAATGATGATTACTTCTTTTTTAAACCCGATCTTAATGGTTTGTGACATTTTCTGGGGAAATTGTAAGGAATAATATATATATTTCATCATCATCGATCAGCCGTTCAGACTCTTTAACTCTTTTTTATTTATCAGATTCTGCATGACAAACAGACATTTGTCCATAATGACACTCTTAGATTATACGAAATCCGATATTATAGTATATATGGAATGTCAATTGGGGTGCCAATTGTCATGTGTACAACTTCCAAATATTAAAAAATGATTAGCGATTTGTAATGTTAAGGGCAACCATAAAAAATAATCAAATCAATTAAATTTCTTCTCACTTATTAAACCGGTTTAATAAAGTTTCTCCTCCTAATGTACACGTGATTTTATATGTTTTCCCTTTTCCCACATGAAAATTGATAATGATTCGTTGGGGATTTTTTTACTAAATAAAAAAAAATACCGTTTAAGTTGAAAATCATCATAGGAACCTTTTTAAGGAGAAGAATTACTTGTTATTTAGGAAGATTTTTCCTTTTTTTTCTTTTGTACATTTTTTTCTTAATGGGTTTCCATTAAGAAATTTCTAAAACATTTAAAACTTTTGAAAAAAAAAAGGGACATTGATAATCTTTATTAAATCTTTAAAAATCGTTTTTTAATGATGATATTCTTTAAATTAAAAGACATCAGGTGTCGTTACACGTTACTTTGACACCAAAAAACGAAATCATTCTTATTTTGTAATTTTTTTGGGGAAAAAAAAAAAAAACTGAATTACCTAACAGACAACTGAATTACCTAATCGACGCGAAACAATATTAAAAAAAAAAAAAAAATTGATGTTTTATAATTTTGGAAACCAATATAAACACGGATTAAAAAATAACTAATACAAACACGGAAAAAAAACCAATACAAACATGGTAAAAAAAATCATAATACAAACATAAAACTAATACAAACAAGGTTTTTGACATATGAAAAAAAAGAAAAAGAGTTTTTTTTTAATATGAAAAGGAATTAAAAATTATTTTTGATCTAAGATAAAAAGATAATGAAAATAATGAAAAAAATTTGGGGAAGAAACATAAATAGTAAAACAATTAGTGTAAACATATGTAAAGATGTTACATTTTTAATATAAATAATTTTTTCATGTATTAAAAAGGATTGATGAAAAAAAAAAAATTGGTAACAAGAATCAAGAGGTTCATTCTGAAGGAACATTAACACGTGAATATTACATGCTGTTTACGATTACCCTTTTACTCATCTAAATTTGGTTAATTATTGCATTACTTTTACCGAACTTTTTATGCATTTAGTCAATCTACGAAGATATTCACATTGATTCTCTCCGTTTTATTAATTAAAAAGAGAATATTAATTATAATATTGGACATAATCTTCAAATAAAAAGAAATCTAATTTTGGAAGTTTTTTAAACTTGAAGAAAATAATAATTATAAATAATTAAAATATTGTTTTTTTCCGCGACGTGTCATAAGAATATGTATCAACGTAACACAATCGAAACGAAATTTGAGGTGATATATGATGATATCATAATATTATAAAATTATATTATTATAATTATTATAATTATTATTATTATCCCAAAAAAAATGATCATCATACCGCAGTCAAATCCCATTGATATATGGACTAATATAGAATGATTTTTTAATGATTTTACTTTTTTATCTACAATATATTAAAAATGTATATAATACTCCATACTTTAGTATTTACTTTTTGTATGTTCGAAACGGTGAAAATCAAATGAAATTAGTTAATCATGATCATCATCACAAGAAAAATTCAGTACAAGGGCTCTCTTCTTCACTTTCCTCGGTTTAAAAAAAAAGTCGGTGAATTCCGTCTTATTAATTATTACGTTTGTGTTATATAAATCACCTCATCTCATTGTATTCTTATTGTAAAAATTGAGTTAAATTTCATGTGTAAATTTGTAAAATTTTATTTTGTTTGTCAAAATTAAACTTATAAGAAAAAAAAAAAAA